GTAAAAAGGACAAAAGCCCCACATATTCGACATTGTGGCAGGTTGTTATTAATAACACCATAATCCGTGCTTCACACGCACGGGGAATTTTATCCTGAATCCTAAGCAGGGATAAGCCAACACCTAACACGCGTTACCGGTTTAGTCTTTCACCGATTGAAGAAGACACCGGAATTCCAGTCTGGGGACTTTTATCCTGAATCCTAAGTAAGGATGAGTCAGCGCCTAACACGCGTTGCCGGGTAGTCTATTCCCGTGACAAAGACAAAGTCTACGTATTCAATATCGTAGCATCAAGTCTAAGGGAATCCATTCCTTTAGCACAACGTCACATGCGGAACGGACTTAAAATAATCCGCATGTAAGCCCGATTCAAATAGTAATCGGTAAGAGCACGTCAAATCCGTTGAGGGCTGAGGATTTGCCAAAAATCCTAAGTCAACGTCTGATACACGTTGCTGTTTAGTCTTTTCACAGGAGAAAGATGAAGTCTACGTATTCAATATCGTAGCACTAAAAGGGTTAACTCTTTTAGCTTAACATCACATGCGGAAATAACTTAAACAATCCGCATGCTAGCTCGACTCAAACGGTAGTCGGTAAAGGCTCATCAAACCCGTTGATGGCTGAGAATTTGCTAAAAATTCTATAAATGTGAGTCATTGACGCACCAGCTCCGTTAGTTGGTCTCGTGACTCGAGTATCCAACAACACCAAGATAAGATCCACACATGCAGATGAATCAGCTTTAATAGTTGGTCCTGCAGCCCCAACATTTAGGACCGTCATGCTCCAATACCTTAAGAGCTTAAACTGTGTATACTCCAACAAACGTACGAGTATAAACTGTATTAACGTCAGGCGATCCGAAAACCCTAGGTCAACGCCGGTCAATGCCGGTCAACGCGTAACCCTAGGTCAACGTCAGTCAACGCAATGCAATGAAAGTCAACGTATAGTGATTCAAAACCCTATGGTCAACGCCGGTCAACGCGTAACCCTAGGTCAACGCCAGTCAACGCGTTACAATCAAAAAATCAACGTACGACGTTCAAAACTCTAAGGTCAACGCCGGTCAATGCGTAACCCTAGGTCAACGCCAATCAATGCGTTGCAATGAAAGAGTCGATGTGACGGAAAGGGTCAGTTCTAAATCAATTCAATGACGCGAGCCAAACTCAACTCATCAGTTTTAGATTTGAGACTTCGACGACGGCCAGGCGATAAACGCAACGCCGAAAGAACTTCAGCTATTCGTCAAAGCATCGAATAGATTAAAAATCGAAGGAGTTAAGAATTGAAGCTAACTACAGGTCCTTTACACCGATCGAAGGCTGGACCAATCACATCCAAAGTATTCCAGCCTCTTCTATAAAAGAGATGAGTCTGGAACGCTTTGGAGGGGGTATATGTAGGCATCAAAAATTGCCTGTAAGTCTCCACGAACAGCTCAGTGCTAAGAAAAGATGATGAACATCACTATCCGATTCATAGAAGGTTGATTGATGTCAGTGAACGCTTGAAGTGAATCGACGAACTACGTGAAGTAACGGAATTTCAGAATAACAAAGACACGAACTGATCGGGAACCTCGTGTCATTCACAAACGGTGAAATACCCCTCGTGTCTCATTTATTCCACAGATGATCTAATCATTGGAGCTTATAGAACTCTTCGTCGGCTTTCCAACGCACTTTGAATCGCTCAAATCCGAGTTCGGATGAAGAAGTTACGGTGGAAACGGACAAATGTACAAAACGGAACGTCTCAGCCTGAGTTGAGACACCCCGAGGTGTCTCGGCACAAACGAGACACCCCAAGGTGTCTCGGCCAAGGCCGAGACACCCTAGGGTGTCTCGGCTCAAGCCCTCGGCTCAGGACGAGACACCCAGAGGTGTCTCGGCCTCGCCGAGACACCCAGAGGTGTCTCCAAGCCCAAAAACAGGTTGTTACGCGGTTTTAACCACCCGGATCTCCTTGAAGCCTATAAATACAGCCCCTGGAGCCTCTTTTTTTCAGATCTAGAATTTTGGAGAATTGGCGAAGCCCTGCCAGACTGAAGAGTGATCGAGTTCTTCAACGCAAGAGAGAGAGAGAGATTCTTCAATTCAGCATCACCCGCGTCCGTTCCTTAGGATTATCCCGTTGTGGTAATCCTAAGAAGAGCAATTATCTCTCCGTTGCCGAGATAAGCGCTTCTGCTTCTAGATTCCTTCGCGAATCGACGGAGTTCGGGATCTGGAATTTTGGAGGTTAGGCGAAGCCCTGCCGGATTGAAGACTGAAGGTGCACGAATTTCAGAGAGGAGGAGGAGAGATCGGATCAGTTCGTCGGCATAAAGAAGAGGAGCTCGTCAGATCTGCAGTTTACCGGGTCCGTTCCTTAAGATTATCCCGTTGCGATAATCTTAAGAAGAGCAATTATCTCGCCGTTGCCGAGATAAGCCCTACGGTTTCTTGATTCCTTCGCGAATCAACGAAGCTCTGCCTGATTTTTTCAGTAATCAGATCTGATCGACGGTAGTCCACGGATATCAACATCCCCATCACAGATCAAGATCCCACGCAAGCAGAAGATCGATAAACGATCTCTGCGTTTGTTTGAAGAGAATTGTACTTTTGTTTTGTTTTCATTGTGTAAAAGTCTTATAAAAAGACTTATTTTTGTTTTCATTGTAAACGTCTGAAGTTTGTAATGAATCCTACAATGAAACAATCAATTTTCTCCCCAAACAGTAGAGATCGGTAGAGACAAAGAGAAAGGAAATTTTTTTAACACAAGTGGCTTATTTGAAGAAGGTTCTACAGCGGTTTAATGTTAGTATGGATACGAAGCCAGTTAGTGTACCTTTGAGAGCCCATTTGAAGCTTTTAGCTGATCTTTCATCAAAGACAGTTGAAGATTGAGAGTTGATGTCGAAGACTCCATATGCGAGCGCAGTTGAAAGCTTAATGTATGCGATGGTATATACGAGGCCAGATTTGTCACAGGTGGTGAGTATGATTTCAAGATACATGCACGATCTAGGAGTGGGTCATTAGGATGTCGTGAGATGGATTTTAGGGTACATTCGAGGTACTCTCAATATTGGTTTATGTTTTGAGTAGGACACTAGAGGTGGACAGTTGTGTATTGGCTATGTTGATTCAGATTATGCTGGAGATTTGGATAAACGTCGGTCTATGACGGGGTATGTATTCACTTTGACCCGTGTGCCGGTGTGTTGAAGATGCACCTTACAGTCTACAGTGGCTTTGTCAACTATGGAGGCAGAGTATATGGTGATTACAGAGCCTGTGAAGGAGGCTATTCGGCTTCGGGGACTTTTGGAGGAACTTGGTGTTTCGCAGTGGTCCGTCACACTTTGTTGTGATAGCATGAGTGTTATCTATTTGGCGAAGAATCAGGTTTTTCATGCGAGGATGAAGCACATTGACGTTCTTTATCACTTCGTTCGGGATGTTCTTGAAAATAGCTATGTGGAGATTGTGAAGGTCCACACGAAGGATAATTCGACGGATATACTCACAAAGGTGGTTCCGAGCAACAAGTTTGATCATTGTTGAAACTTGTTGCACATTCGTGATTGTTAAGACCGTTGACTGTCATTTGGATGAACTACAGACGGCTTGATCCCTTGGGAGAGGGGGCACGTAGGCAATCACATTGGTGCAGCCGAGTTTGTAGAGACGACGTAATGGTGCTCTTTGTTTGGTGTCGGCTCAGTTTTGAAAAAACTTCACCGAGGTAGAGAATTGGAGAGAAAAACATAATACAGGTTTGGATCTCCACTGGTCGACCGCGAGGTAAGCGCGGTCAACTGGAAACGTGCACAAAAGCTTGGGTGGTTTCTGGACTTGTTGAGGTCGACTGCCAAACCCTGTAGTGGAATTTAGTTTCTGTCGATTGGTTGCGGTCGACTGTGGCGATCGACCGTGAGACCCTGTAATGTTTCCTGGGTTCTGTCGTTGGTTTTGGTTGACCGTCGCGGTCGACCACGTGTCGTGCTGGGTCTTGGGCTTTGTTTCCTATTTTCTTTGGGATTGTGTTTTGGTATATATTGAAACACGATTTTCTAGGGTTCCTAATGAGAAATTAGAGAGTGTTCTAAGCATATTGAGAGGGAGAATTTGTGAGCAAGTTGAGAGATCTTTTGGTTGGGTTAGTTTGAGTGTTCGAGAGATTTGTAACCCTTTGTACTCTCCTTGATTTAGTGGAATCTTTCCATCCTCTCCCCGTGGACGTAGACAAATTGTCGAATTACATATATCTCTGTGTTTGGATTGGTTTGTCGTATTTTGGATTGGATTGCACTCGTGTTTGGTTTGGTTATCTACTCTCGTGCCTCACGAACTCGTTCAGTGCGAGCACGCTTCCGTAAAGGCGCGTGTCATAGAAATCATCTTCTTCAAACGTCAAAAATCCCCCAACCCATTTCTAAGCTTTCCCAACAATATTTTTGTGCTTCCGACCATTTTAAGGCGTACTTTGGTAATTAAGTTTGGTGGTTAAGAATTAACATAATCATGTCTTCAAGAACTAACTGAAAAACTGGCAGTGGACCAATTTGCATGATCCCTTTAGACTTGGCGAATGTATGAACAATTTCAAAGATTTAAGGGTCTAGTATTGAAGGAATAAAGATTTGAGGGACTGATAGCTATCATTCTTACATTTGTTTAAAATGAATTCTTATGAGGAGTTTTTCATGACCTATGGATTTTTTTTATAAAAAATTTGAGAAAATGGCCCATAGAAAATTGCTCAAGTTACTCACAAAATGTCTGTTTAAATCAAATAATCAATGATATCTTAGAGTATAGAAGCCACTGTTCAGTATGTTCACTCAATTTATCTCGCAAAAGTTTAATAACTCAAGTAGTTAACTGATATGATATGCACGATTTTTTCACAAACCAACCAACACCCCCACCCCCAAAAAAATTTTTTTTTTTTAATGAATGCAATTCATGTGTTTCCCCCTTAATTTATTGTACCAGGTGCTATTAGAAAGTAGCAAGGACTTCGATATTATGGGCCATTCAATGCCGAACCTTATATATGTCTCCAGAGAGAAGCGGCCAACAACTACTCATCACTTCAAGGCTGGTGCTCTGAATGCTTTGGTTAGTATTACTTTGTGGGTCAATTGTAGAAACACACTCTACAGTATGAGAGTATAGCCACTTATAACTCTTAAATTATTTTATTAGCACATATACTGTTAGGTTCGAACCACATGTTGAAATAAATAAAATTTGCTAATCTAGGGCAAAAAAGAATGTCCTGTAAGTCGTACAGAATGTGAAAGCTAATAATATAGTTAATTTATATAGTATAAGTGACTAAAACTTCATAGTATAGGGGTGTTACTGCAATTAATCTATTTTTTTCTAATTCAAAGAATTGTAGCTAGGATTGTGTTTAAATTGAATCTGACGTACAAAACATTCATATATATATGTACGATCAATACAAGACGAGAGTGTCCAGTATAATGTCCAACTCACCAGTCATCCTAACTCTGGACTGCGACATGAGCTCGAACGACCCACAAACCCCACGACGAGCCCTCTGCTACATTTTGGACCCCGAAATCGCACCCAAACTCGCGTACGTGCAGTTTCCGCAGCGCTTTCGAGGGCTAAATAAGAATGATATATACGGCAGTGAGATCAAGCGCTTGTTCCGGATAAACCCGCGAGGCCTTGATGGGCTACGGGGCCCGAATTATGTTGGAAGTGGATGCTTCTTCGTTCGACGCTCTCTCTATGGGCCACAATCACCTGGACCCAGCCCATTTCCTTCCGATCTGAAGTGGTTTTTGATGACCGATGCTAATCGTGGTTCAATGCGTTCTGAGTCCGTTCTCAAAAGGGCACACGAAGTTGCTGGTTGTAACTATGAACTTGACACAAAATGGGGAGACAAGGTATCTATCATATGGTTTACGAATATTTTTTAACCATAAATTACATTTTGGGAAGCATTTATGCTTAATTAATCATATGATTCCATTTTTTCCCCTCCAGATTGGATTTAGATATGGGTCATTAGTAGAGGACTATCACACTGGATATCGGATGCAATGTGAAGGTTGGATATCCATATTTTGCGATCCTGAGAGGTATGCATTTTTAGGCGATGCGCCAAAAAATTTGAATGATGCGCTGAGCCAGTGCAAGAGATGGGCGGTAGGGCTCCTGGAGGTGGCCATCTCAAAGTATAGTCCCCTCACATTCGGTATAAGAAATTGCTCTCTACTAATGGGCATGGGCTATGCGCACTATGCATTCTGGCCACTTTGGTGTATTCCCCTAATAACTTATGCTCTCCTGCCTCAGCTAGCTCTCATCTTTGGTGTGCACCTCTTCCCAAAGGTATGAATCTTTAAATTCATATATTACGGTTACTTATCTTCATGGCTAAGATCCTTGCTGAAATTAATAAATTCTTAGCCACATGGTCAGACTTTTATACTGAATTTAGTCTCCCTTAGGTCACAATCTGAATTTGTTAGGTAAATCCGGGTCTCTTATAGACTAGTATTTGTTTTGACTCTAGATTGGAAACGTGATTAACCAAAAACCCAACTTACTAGTTTGTACATAATATTTAAAGCCGATTGCTCAATTTATATCTTGAAATATGAGACCTTGGGAGTACTATACTCACATATGAACTCCATTAGTGTAAGAAAATATAATATAGCCCCACAGTCTGATTTTGGCAAATATTACCCTGGGTGAAAATTAGTGAGTACAAGAGGCAATCTCAGAGGTCTATCTGTCAGAATTGAACATATGGGGATACTACTATATAACTAATTGAAATGAAATCCAATTCGTGGCAACTATATATGCTCTTGCAGCTGTCAGATCCTTGGTTTTACTTGTACGCTTACCTCTTCGTGACCGCATATTCCCAAGATCTCATAGAATTTCTCATGGACAACGGCACAATCCAAACATGGTGGAGTGACCAAAGAATGTGGATGATCAAGGGAATGACATCCTTTGCTTCCGGAACCATTCAATTCATTATGAACCAAACGGGGATCTCTGCTCCCGGTTTTACTCTCACAAACAAAGCGACGGAAGAAGGACAAAATGATCGTTATGATAACGGGGTTTTCGACTTGGGCGTATCTTCACCTTACTTTGTATTGCTTGGGGCAGCGGCTGCGTTGAACTTGAGCTCCTGTATGTTGGGGGTTTTGAAGGCAACGAGTAGAGAGGACTTTTTCTGTAAAATGTTCGTGCCGCTGTTCCTGTCGGCGTTTGGAGTGGCGAACTGCTGGCCGATCCTTGAGGCCATGTTTTTGAGAAAAGATGGAGGCAGGATGCCGAAAAATATTACCGTCGCGTCAATTTTGGTTGCGGGGGTCATTTGCATGTTCGGATATTTTGCGCTCGTAGGCTGAGGCTGGATTTAAATTTCTCTTTTGTGGAGGGTAGTATCAACCAATATATTATTAGAAGGTAAAAGTTACCAATGTTTGAGTTGATCGGATCAACGTATTAATTAAGTTTATGCTTCAGAATGATTTCAGTACCAAGAATAAATGTCTGTTGCCCTATGTAGTTCATCTCTTTGGTTTCATAAAGTTGAGATATTACTGAGCGGAATCCTCTGTTTCTTTGGAAGATATGTCGACCTTGGATCTTGATTCTTTTGATTGATTCTATTTATTCCATTAACTATTGAAAGGGATAACAAATAAAAGTATAATATGCAGAAAATTATTGACAAAATCTCAGGTTAAATTTCTATGGTTTATTTAGACGTAGCTTACGGTTCATTCTTTCTAGCGAAAAAATTAGGATCAGTTCTATCTAGTACGGTAATCTTTGTTCAAAATGCTTTTGTTATAGATTGCCTCAAACACTTGGATCCGAATTGGCGAAGTTGGTGTTGCTGTAGCTCGGGAATTTTCTTGAGAACATGCTGCAAAAAAACGTCGCACTAGATCTTTGATTTGGTGTTGAATTGGTTATCTTAATTCAAATCCTATTTCTAGTAGAATATGAATTCTACTAAGTTGAAGGTAAGACGAATCAAAGAACTCTAGTAGCATCCTATCATTGTAAACGTAGATGATCTATGCATTGTAAAAAGATGCAGAAAGCATCTTCCGGAGATAACCATCAATCATGGCAATGTTGGATTTAGATCTAATTAAATCTAATTTGTGGGCACATATGTTTTTATCAGTGTGTATTGCTATCCTTAAAGATAACCCACATAAAGTGATCAATCAATTTGTGTTAATGAGTATTTAAATAAATCATGGGCTAAATGTACAGATATCATGTTGGAATTATAATATGATGAGGGGCCAAATTATAAATGTACAACACCTATATATATGGGGTTATGGTCCATAATCTAGGGTCAACACACTCAATTCTCTTATTCCCATCTAAAGAGATAGTAAAGGAGAAATCCTAATATTAGAAGATCATCAAAACCCTAATTCAGATCTAAGAAATGGATTCAGGTATAGCTTCCGCTCTTATTGATGTTTAATCTCTATGACTTAATCACAATTAAGTTCAACAAGTGGTATCAGAGCCACCGTGATTATTTCTTACGGGTTTAAGATTTAAAATTAGGTTTTTATATGGATTATTGAGAACTGTTCACGGATGAACAGTAAAAGTTCCTTTTTTATTTTGGTTTTTCTTTTGGGTTTTTGGATCGGTTGCACTAATGAACTGTAAAGTTTATTTCTTTTTGGTTGTTGTTGTTCTCCAAAGCTCCCCGCTAGCGATGTATCGACGACGGCCCCATTGTCAAATGAAGACAGTGGCGGAAACATTAGGAACCCTAGGGTTGAAGGAGCATAAGTGGCGTCGACGGTTCAAGAACAAACCTTAAGGGGTTAAAGAAATTAAGGCTTGAGGGCTTACCTGAGGTATTTGATCGAGGTTCGAACTTCAGACAAACTTCGGTTCGATTTAGCGAACTTTGTTTTGCTTCTGACGAACCTTGTGTTCGATTCAGCTTTGTTGAAGGCTTCTGACGAACTTCGGTTCTATTCCAGCGAACTTTATCTAGTTTGGTTTTAAGATGAATATTGTTGATGACTGTGTATATTACAAGTTTAGTTCTGTATGTCGATGACATATTGCTTGCCACTAATGATATATGCATGTTGCACGAAATCAAGAGATTTCTATCAAAGAATTTTGAGATGAAAGATCTTAGGGACGTCTCTTTTATATTAGGAATCCAGATACATCGAGATCATTCTTAAGGTATACTTGGATTATCACAAAGAGCTATATTGATAAAGTACTCAAAAGATTTGGCATGCAAGATTGCAGACCAGGTGACACCCTTGTTGCTAAAGGAGACAAATTCGGTCTCAATCAGTGTCCTAAAGGTAACCTTGAAATTCAGGAAATACAGAAGATTCTTTATGCTTCGGCTGTAGGAAGTCTATTGTATGCTCAAGTGTGTACACGTCCGGATATTACGTATGTTATTGGGATGTTAGATAGATACTTAAGCATCCCTAGTATGGATCATTGGATAGCAGTCAGAAGGATTATGAGGTATCTGTTAGACCCTAGAGGGGGGGGGTGGTTAGGGTCTTATGCTAATCTAATCCGATTATATGCCAATAAAAACTAATTAATAAGTTATCCTAGCAAGTTATGCTAATCTAATCCGATTATATGCCAATAAAAACTAATTAATAAGTTATCCTAGCAAGTATGAAATACAACAAGATATATGAGCTAGGATAAGCAAGCAAGTATGAAATACAACAAGATATATGAGCTAGGATAAGCAATATGAACAACAAGAAATATCCTAGCAAAGAGATATAAGCAATATATGTTCAAGGATATATAAACTAACACAAGGGTAACTATATGAACTAGATAGTGGATGATATAAATAATGAGCTATGGACAATGGCGACAAGAAATATAACATAAGATTAAGTGTGCCAAAGCAAACTCAAACACACGATATGATCACGGAGTTCGGACCTTCCGTCCTACATCTCCGCTCCCCACTCCCAGGGAGAAATCCACTATCACAACCGGGTTTTCTACGCTCACCCGAATAACGTTTACACCTCACAATATCGGTTTTTAATGCTCACCGATCAACGTTCACTCATCACACTCGGTTTTCTAGTTCACCGAAAACTTTACAATCTCGACACACTCGGTTTCTAGCTCACCGAAAACCTTACAACACTCACAATGTAATAAATATAAATTTGTTCTCTACAATAGATGAGAACACAATGAAAGCACAACTCAATATTACAATCTCTCACAACCCTAATATACTATGTATGCAAATACAATAAGCTCAAGTGGGTGTGTGTAACAAAGAGACAAATCAAATCTAAACTCAATATAAAAACTAGCTTAATAGAAATGATAGTTAACAAATAATTATAAATAAAGCTAGAAATAGAGTTTAGAAAACTTCCCAATAGATCAAGAGATTGAGGAAGGATGGTTGGATGCTCAAGCACCAATAGGATCTCCTCAAACTCTTGTGAAAATGATTCCACAAACCAAAAACACTCAATTGCTTAAAAGCTTCTTTAAACAAACTTAAACAACACTTAATTAAACCCTTGTTAAAATCTTTTAAACCATTCTCTTAGATTGCATAGTTAGAAATGCAATGGGGTATATATAGGAAGAGGAAATATCAGCAAGAAACCCCAAACAAAATGACCAAAAGGCCCAAAACAGAAATTCTGCAACGGCTAGAAAAATAGCCGTTGGGAGAACTGACAGCGCGTCGGTCGACCGGTGCGGTCGACCGAAGAGCTCTCGGTCGACCGACGGTCGACCGCAAAAGTCTCTGGACTACGTACGATCGACCGTCACGGTCGACCGCGAGCCAACAAAACACATTTTGAGTTTTGAACTCATGGGCGGTCGACCGTGACGGTCGACCACAAACAGACATATGGAAATAACAGGTTTGAACAGTATTCTGATTTTAAAATCCTATTTAAAAATATGAAATAAATTCTAAAAAATGTAAAACTTTGGAGAATGAGTGTAGACATGATAATAAACATGCTATAATGACTGGTTTCCAAAAAGGACTCCCCAAATGAAAAATATCATCATTTTACAAAATAGGTCAAAACATGATAATGTAAACATGTGAATTTTAACATTTTGGCTAAACCATGTTTTGAAACTTTGCACAATGATTATGTAGACTTAATAAAATATGTATATGATTATTGTTAAGTCCAAAAACTAAGAATACAATATTTTTACAAATACAATAGAAAATAAAACATATGAGTATGTATATGAAAATATATTTGTTTCATATCTAAGTAGTTAAACCAAATCACAATAATAAATATGAAATATATAATTTCATATTTGTAAACATGAAAACCCAAAACCATGCATGTATATATATAACTATATATATACATAGAAACCAAATACGTGTGTGTATATGATATTGAGCTTAAGGTACTTAACACACATAATATAAAACCTAAACTAAGTTACCCAAGCTAGATCTTGATCTTCAATAAGCTCGACTTGGTACACTTGCGGATGAAGCTTGAACTTGATCTTTAACTTTGAATTGTGTAGGCTTCACTCCACTATTCCGCCAACCTCCATTGGATATGATCATGAATGCGCAATTCCATCCATCCTCCAACCCGTTGTTTGCTTAGAATAAATACGAAAACACAAACACTAGACAAACAATATTAGAAGTAAATTGTTTGTTAAACATCATCAAAACAAGAAGGCCAATAGTATCTTCAAAAAAAAAAAGATTATATGCTCACATACAGAAAATCAGAACAGTTTGAGGTCATTGGGTATTCTGATTCTAATTTTGCTAGATGCCAAGATAGTAAAAAGTCTACATCATGCTACATTTATATGTTAGCAGGAGGAGGTATATCATGAAAAAAATATCAAACAGACACTTGTAGCTTCCTCCACTATGACAGCATGTAAGACCCCGTAGATTTTGATAATTTATATATATGATTATTAGTGAAAAATAATATTTATTTATGATAAATATCTTTATGACATGGTTGTGCATGAAATCTAGCATTTTGAGCTTATGAGAATGTATATATGCATCAGTTATGAGGTTGAGTTTGCAAATTTGCAAATCATATGCATCAAAGTTGAAAAACTTAGTTTTCAGCTCATGAGTCGACCCATGACTGTCATGAGTCGACTCATGATATCAACTCCCATTGTCAAAAGTGTTTGCTGAGTCGACTTCTTATCTTATGAATCGACCAATGAGTCATGAGTCGACTCATGACAATCATGAGTCGACTCATCGAGGGTTTTCTGGGTTTTGTGGATCGGGTTTGTTTGGATTTTGGGTCGGGTTTTAACTGTTCATATATATTCTCCTCCACCCGAAAACACCTCTTTTTATCAGTTCTCCCCAGAGAAACCCTAGCCTTCTATCCCCCTCAAAACCCTAGTTCGTTTTTGGGCGTTTTTAGGAGATTTTCGGGGGATTTCAGTAGCTCCTTGTGGTTTACAGCGAGGGGAATCGTTCTTCAACACATCTGATGCGAGTAGCATCTCACCTAATCTCTCTCCTATGTTTTTATCAGTTTATAAATGTTTTTTATGAGTTTTATTGAGCCTAAGACTTATTTTCAAGTATAAATCAATG